TGCACTGTCTATTGATAGCATTTGTACAGGAACTGCTTAGGTTAAATCACTGGAGCTGCGCCACTTGTTACAGATCTTCACTTACCTTTGCATGTCCTGTAGGATAGTGAGTCTTAACCATAAAGCTGCAGCCCACATGTGGGTCATTAGCACTACATAGAGGGCTGCTAAAAACATTTATTATTATTATTTATTATGTTTGCACTGTTAGATCATGAGGGGGCGCCCAGATGTATGTCCATCAGCCAAACCAGGACTTAATGTCAGAACACCGTGAAAATGGCCCCATAGTGAGGGAACTCCCGGTTGAACCCGAACAATTTGGGAGATACCCCGATACAAACCACTGAGCAGTAAACATCGTCTGAAGACGGGGGGGGTGAGAAAAACAGATTTAAACTAACAAGCAATGTGGTGCAGTGCGGAGAAAAGGCCAACCCTGATTTATGTGGTTCAAAAGAGATCCGAGAAGAAATCAACCACAATGAGAGTGTTTGTGGAAAATCTACTCCACGAAGGTCTCAAGCGAATTAACGAAAGTGGTGCCAAACCTACACAAATAGATACATTTTGAATTTGTAATTAGGTTCAGAGGTCAAAAGGTTACGAACCACTGCTGGAAGATGACACGAATGAAGCTATTTTCTGACAACTGACATGTCCTAAACAAATGAATAAATAAATATTGCTCCCTCATTCTTCCCACAATGAAGAAATTAACAGTGTGAGTTCACCCACACAGACTGCCACAGGAGGCACCATTAAGTATGTGATTCCTTTGGGGCTGGAACCCAGGACTACATTAATTGTGTATACCCAGATTTTTCAGATTTTCAGTTAAGTTTGCTTGGAGAAAAGGGTGAATATGAGTAGACCTAGGTAGGTAGGTGAGCCAATGCAAACGCATGAGGCTCAAATCTGGTCTATCCTACTCAGATAGAAGATGAGCCCTAACCTTGGATCGCCAAATTCATTTTTTTTTAACGCGAGAGTAAAGAGACATTTCTACAGAAGAACAGATGCCAGGCAACACCTTTGCTGCCCACCAACAAAAATGAATGACATCCGTCTAGAGGCGTTAGCTTACTATACAGTAACAACAAACCAGAACACACAAAATGATTGATAAGGTCGGTCACATTTTGTCACAATCTCCAAGGATTTTTTTTTTTTCGAACATTTTCTAAGAGGCAAAATTGGCAAAACTGCGTTACAGAAGCAACCCACCGCTGTTGTCATCACGCTGGTTAATGTGATCACTGTCATCATAAGAAGGTCGACCTGTGAAAACATTAAGAATACTCTAGTTAATTGGCCTACATTTCCAGTATGTACAGAAAAAATATATGCAGTTTTTTTTCCTCCTTAATCTAGAGCTTACCTTTTCCTTTGTCAGGGTTGTAGTTTTTGTCTTTGCTCACATCGAGGAGATCATCGTCAGAAAAGGTACCTGTTTGAGGAGACGAAGGAGAAGACGTCACTGCACTGACCACATGGACAGAAAATGTCACAAACATCTCGGGAGGTAATTAACTCCACAAATAAAAACAGGGGCAGAAAAAGGGACACCAAAGAGTTAAAAACTAGGGATGTCCGATGTTAACGTTTTGC